TACAAAGTCTTACTGGATTCTCAATTCATTCCATTGAGGTATATTTTTATCATTTTGCCATTACCACTTTATCTTGTTTACCATAGCTGTGTGGTAAGTTGTGAAATCAGAAAAACATAATTCTTCTAAATCTGTTATTTTGCAAGATTGTTTTGGCTATTCTGATTCCCTTGGATATTCATATGAATTTTAGGGTCAGCATGACCATTTTAGCAAAGTACAAGTTGGCTAGGATATTTAGAGGGATTGCATTGGGTGTATTGCTATCCTGACAAGAAACTTTTCAATTTATTATCATGGATGTAGTTTCCATTTTTAAGCCTTACTTAGTTTTTTTCATCAGTGTTTTGTTTTCTACGAAATATATGTTTTACACTTTTTTAGTTAATATAATTTTAAGTATTTTTGATGCTCTTGTAAATATAAACATTTTCTTGATTTTATTTTTGGTTTGTTCATTGCTAATAGATAGAAATACCAATTAATTCTTATGCATTTATATAATATCTTTATGGTTGCTGTGTTTCTTGTGTGTGTGTTGAAAGTGTTAGTCATTGAGTTGTGTCCAACTCTTTTCAACCCCATGGACTGTAACCCGTCGAACTCCTCTGTTCATGGAATTCTCCAGGCAAGAATACTGGAGTGGGTTGCCATTCCTTTCTCCAGAGGATCTTCCTGACCCAGGGATCAAACCCAGGTCCCCCGAATTCTAGGCAGCCTTTTACCATCTGGGGCACCAAGGCAGCTTATTAGTATTCTCCAGAGAAGCCGAATATATCATAGATAGATAGATAGATATACATATAAAATCATTGTATATATCATCAATGTCCCAGTTCAACCACAAGAGACAAGTTTATCCTTTCTCCACCATTTTATGCTATTCAGGTCCTCAATGGATTGTATGTTACTTACCCACATTGGGTAGAGCAATCTACTTTACTGAATCCACCAATTCAAACTAATTTCATATAGAAACACCTTCATACCCATGCCTCAAAGTAATGCTCAACCTAAGCATCCCAAGGCACAGTCAAATTGATTCATAAAGTTAAGGATAACAGTGCTAATAATTTTTTAATGGAATTTATTAGGATTTTCTATGTAAAAGATTATTTTATCATTTGTTGTTGATTTGCTCAGTCATGTCTGACTCTTTGTGACCTTATGGACTATAGCATGCCAGGCTTTGCTGTCCTTCACCATCTCCCAGAGCTTGCTCAAACTCATGTCCATTGAGTCAGTGATGCCACCTAACCATCTTGTCCTCTGTTGTCCTCTTGTCCTCCTGCCTTCAATCTTTCCCAGCATCAGGGTCTTTTCTAATGAGCCGGTTCTTCACATTGCATTAGGTGGTGAAAATATTGGAGCTTCAGCTTCAGGATCAATCCTTCTAATGAATATTTAGGATTGATTTCTGTTAGGATTGACTGGTTTGATCTCCTTGCAGTCCAAGTGACTCTCAAGAGTCTTCTCCAGCACCACAGTTCAAAAACATCAACTCTTCGGCACTCAGCCTTCTTTATAGGCCAACGCTCACATCCATACATAACTACTGGAAAAACTATAGCTTTGGCTAGACGGATCTTTGTTGGCAAAGTAATGTCTCTGCTTTTTAATACACTGCCTAGGTTGCTCATAGCTTTTCCTCCAAGGAGCAAGCGTGTTTTAATTTCATGGCTGCAGTCACCATCTACAGCGATTTTGGAGTCCCCCAAAATAAAGTCTCACTGTTTCCATTGTTTCCCCATATAATTGCCATGAAGTGATGGGAACAGGTACCATAATCTTTGTTTTTGAATGTTGAGTTTTAAGCCAGCTTTTTCTCTCTCCTCTTTAACTTTCGTCAACAAGCTCTAGTTCCTCTTCACCTTCTGCCGTAACGGTGATGTCATCTGTATATCTGAGGTTACTGATAACTCTTCCAGCAATCTTGATCCCCGCTTATGCTTCATCCAGCCTGGCGTTTTGCATTTTGCATTCATCGTAAGTGGAAATAATTTTACTTCTTCCTTTGCAATCTGAATAGCAGTTACTTCTCTTGCTTGTCAAATTATCTGGTAAGATTTTCTGTACTGTGCTAATTAGAAACACATCTTTTGTTCCTAATCTTTGGGAGGAAGCATTCAGTTTTCAGCATAAAATAAGATGTTAGCTGTTGAATTTACATAGAGGTCCTTTATCAGAGAATAAGTTGATTTGTGTTTGTGGTTAGTTGTGAGTTTCTACCATGAGTTGTGTTGGAGTTTGTCAAATGCTTTTCTGCATCTTTTGAGATGATTTTGTGAATTTTATTTTTTATTCTATTGATACAGTGTATTTGGCATAATTAATCTTGCATTTCTGGGTTAAATTAGATATGTATACTTTGGAAGTATTTGTTAAGAATTGATATACATATTTGAATATTTTATAGAAGTTATCATTTAAACCAAATCATCTTCAAATGCTCTTTTAATCAATTTTGCTATTTAATGAGTTTTTATTTATTAATGAATGATGTAATATCTTTGGTTTATTTTTTGTACATGCTCTTTCTATATGTTTAAGAGAGTCCAATGTTAATTTTTGAAAATTAAATTTTGTCAGTTAAATGCTTTATTATTGGTCCTTATTAGTGATACTAACATACTGTCACAAAGATATTGGTAAATGTGACCAAATTTAGAGAAAGAAGCAGATCTTAATCTTTTGAATTAAAAGTAAAAGACATACCTTGTAATTTTAAAATGGACTGATGAAATATCAACACTAAAGAAACTATATAAACAAAAATCATTGGATGAAGTATAAAGAAAAATCTAATGGGCTTGCTGTCTACTTTCCTAATTATAATGAAAAGAGCTTTGTGTTTTTTTTACATTGTGGTATGTGCTATAACTGAAAAATAATATCATAACAAAATTTTATAATCTATTGAGTAATGAACAGTAGGATTTCATATGAAAGTATATCTTAGTACTTAAGAGTATATAGCCACAATATGGCTTTGGATTCTGACTCTGCCACTTATATACTGTATTATCCCTTGGCAAATTATTTACTCTTTATACTTCACTTTCCTTATTTATAACTTGAATCTCATAACACATTTCTACTAAGTATTCAGAAAATGTGTATTGAAGAGGCATTTACATGTTAGATGTGACTGTTGGTTGCTAAGTAGACACTGAATAAGAGAAATATTGTTAATCCACCTTGGATGCTGTTAAAACCATGTGTTTAGATCTATTTTTAAATGTTTCATTCAGTTATGGAATGTCAGTTTGATTCTTTTTTAACTAATTATAATATTATGATTGTATTTTTATTGTTTCATGTCTTTTTGCCTGAATTTTTATTTAAAATTTAATTAAAGGTTTTATATGCTAACATTACATTCTGTATCACCTGTGGGTCTGCTTCATTAATTAATTTTTTATCTGGTTATCAAAGATTTAATTCTATTTTTTTCTCATGCCTAGAAATTTTTTCTTAAGTGCTAGATATATTAAATAACATGATTGATGTTAAAAACTTAAAGATCTGGTAAAGTGTCAGAAATGTAGCACAGAGTTAATAAATAGTAAAGATTATTGCTATTCTTTATTATCCTCAATATTTTATCTAGGAACTTGTATTTCTGATTGAAGTTAGTCGTGGAAGTAATGTATGTTTTCAGAGACTTTCAAATGTACTTTAAGTAAAAACTGAAAAAAATAAATGTATCTATTTCATATTGTTAAGTACATTCTTCCTTATCTTCTTTTAAAATGTATTTTAGAGTATTTTTGTATGTGAAATGGACAAAGAATTTTATTACATTTCACCTATTATTAACATATAACATTGTATAGCACGTTTGTTACAACTAATGAAACATTATTAATGTGTTATCCGTGGTTGTTTAGTCACTAAGTCATGTCCGACTCTTGCAATCCCATGGTCTGTAGCCTGCCAAGCTCCTCTGTCCATGGGATTTTCCAGGCAAGAATATTGGAGTGGGTTGACATTTCCTTCTCTAGGGGATCTTCCTGACCCAGAAATCGAACCTGGGTCTCCTGCATTGCAGGCAGATTCTTGACTAACTGAGCTATGAGGGAAGCCCAATATGTTATTATTAACTAAAGTTTATATTTTCTTCAGATTTCCTTCATTTTTACTTCATGTCCTTTCTCTGATCCAGGATCCTTTCTAAAATAACAGATTACATTTAGATGTCACATCTTCTTGGGGATCTTTTGACTGTTACAGTTCCTCAAAATTATCCTTATTTTTGACAAAATACTTAACAGCTTTGAGGCATACTAGTCAAATTCAATTTTAAATTTCATGAAAGGAACACATGTCTCTGAAATGTTCAACATATTGTTCATCATTCAGTAAAAATGATGTATTTGTATTATTTATGAACAAGTAGGATTCCAAAAATTCTTAATGAAACAAAAAAGATTCTCAACGAGTCTATAATAGTCAAATGTGTGGAAGGGAGTGATGAGTGATGAACTTAACAGTCTAGTCTTGTATAATGAATTTCATTTGCATATTTGGTTAATAGGTTGTTAAGGATGGTACTCAACACAAGAGTGTCACAATACATAGTATCCATGGCCAAACCAGATAAATTGAATGGAAAGAGAACCCTGGCCACCCTTCATATAGTTACATGGAGTATATCCTGAATTACCAGAGCATAATTTTTTTTTCTTTAGTTTTAAGGTTTAGGTTTTAAGCCTGTTCAAGCAATCTACTTAACTAACTTTTGTTAAAACTGAAAGGAAATGTTTGTAGCAGGATAGAATTAGATGGTCTACTTTAAATTCCAATTTACCAAATTTCATTATTCATTATTAATATATATGTATTGGGTACATGTATATTTTACTATGCTAACTTGATAGCTTCTGATACTAAAGACTATTATAACCTCTGCATCTTATACACTGATTTAATAGAAAAAAGCCATCATAATTTGAATGTTAAGAGGTACATTGTTACATAAGAACATTTTATTTTTGCAGAACTATTATGGAGCTGCTAGGATGATTTTTTCTGACAACCCACTTGGTCTGACCTGTGGAATGGTATGCCCCACCTCTGATCTTTGTGTAGGTGGATGTAATTTGTATGCCACTGAAGAGGGACCAATTAATATTGGTGGATTGCAGCAATATGCTACTGAGGTATGTAAGATGTACAATTGTTTTTTCTATCCCTGAAGCATGAAAATCTTAAAATAACTTTAATCCTTGAAGCTTTGTTGATACCCAACATTTTTAGTGTGATATACAGCTACAGTTTAAGTATTTTGTGCCATAAACGATGTTTTTATTCAACGACTTGGCTTCAAAAATGAAATTTCTAAAACCATATGTCAAATTAATTGTAATCCCAGAAGGTTATTAAAATACTTTCACTGAAAGTTATATAAATTGGAGTATCTGAAAATAGAATTTATTCATTAACTTTACGTTGGAGTGTGGCTAGGGGGTCCCATTATGGAAAAAAAATAAAAACTATCTTACTTAACTGGTTCTTTTTCCTGAAACCATCTTTAATCTTCACAGCTTGAAAGAATACATATATATACATCAAAATATATATCTACAATATATTTTGAGTAATAGAGGTTATAGAATTATCAAAAACCCTCAAACTGAATAATATTTTTTAATATTACATTTTGTGAACCTATGGATTGAAAGCAGATGTGTTTTTTGGATGCAAATTTATAATGAAATAATATGAAAACATTTTGTCCCTATTTTTCTTATAAGTTTGGGCCATGTCTTTCTTTTTTAATGAATCCTTTTTAAATGACTTTGAAGCTCTGGGACATCTTATTCCTTCTGGGGCCTCCTTTTTGCAGTCACTACCAGTCAATTCCTATGTATCATTTAAATGATCAGCTTATATGGAGGTTACAGTAGAATTTTGTAATCCTTGGGGTCTGTTTGGCTCGAAGACCAAATTAAACAACCTGTCAACACTAGATTTTTAATTGATGACTTCTCTGTCTGATGTTGTCAACTCAAACACAACATATTCTTTCTTTTTAGGACCCTTCTCATAATATCCCTCAAGCTTAAGTCTTACTTTGCTTTTAGTAATAAATCAGGTTTTTATTCCCTTCCTGCTTTCTGACAGGTTAATTCTAAGGAAGGGCTCCTGGGAGTGAGAAAATAGAAACAATTTGAGGTTGTGAGTTGTTGCAATAAATTCTTGGATTTAATTTCTTTTCCTACCAAATTCAAAATTGCATTAGTTTACCTGACCAGTGCAAGGTATGATCTTTACAACCTGAGACAATCCCTAGTTGATGGAGAAGATTCACTTGAATTCTTCCACATTTTTTCTTTGGGGACTCATTGTCTCTTCATTAAAACGGGGCAGGCTTGCAAGGATGTAGTAAGTAAAAGGTCACACAGTATCTATATAAACTAACACTGCATTTCAAAGCAAAATCAGTAAAATAATGATATTTGTCTGTGGTTTGGACTAGAGAGGGAGGGAGGAAGGAGAGGGGAGAAGGGGAAAAGAGAGAAAGGAAACAGTGAAGGGGGGTGGGAGAGCCGAGAGAAAGGGAAACACCATTCCTCCGAGGACTCTGTTTTAATGGGGTTGCACCTCTGTTTTCCAAAGCAAAGTCTATTTATTTCAGACATAGCATAGATTAGGATGGCTATTAGATGCATTTTAAGAGTCTCATGCTCAAAAAAAAAAAAAAAGAGTCTCATGGAATTTAGATAGGAATGTATCTTCTTATTACATTCCATTTATGCTTCTTATTACTGTGGCTTCAAATATATCTATCAAATTATAAATAAAAATCTCCCAGTGGAACTACAGGGGAAGGCTTTTCATTGTTTTTGTTTTTTAACTTGACCACTTAGGGCAATTTATTTTAGAGAGTTCTGTCAAAGGGTTGTTTACTTAAATTTACACAACTGTCAAAGTTGTGAATGTAAGCAGTAATGGATTCACAGATATAGGAAAAAAACTTGTGGTTACCAAAAGGGAGAGGGAATGGGGGTAACAAATTGGGGATATGGGATTAGCAGACACAAACTGCTATGTATAAAATAAAGCAGCAACAAGGATATATTATATAGCAAGGGAAATTATTATTTTAAAATAACCTAAAGTGGAGTATAATCTGCAAAAATACTGAATCACTATGCTGTGTCCTGAATCTAGGACATCTAGGGCATCTAGTCATCTAGGGCTTCCTAGATGACTCAGTGGTAAAGAATCTGCCTGCCAATGCAGGAGACAGAAGAGATGCTAGTTTGATCCCTGGGTTAGGAAGATCCCCTGGAGTAGGAAATGGCAACCCATTCCAGAATTCTTGTCTGGGAGATCCCATGGACAGAGGAGCCTGGAGGGCTACAGTCAGTGGATTCCAAAAGAGTTGGACATGACTGAGCATGTACACACACACATGACCTGAAACTAACACTAAATCAACTCAAGGAAAATAATAAGCATAATGCAATGAATTAATTGACTGCCACTGTAAAGAGTATAACTTTAAAAAACAATTCTAAAATAAAAATATTAAATAATGTTATAAATAATAGTATGCAAATACCATTACTCTTTCAAACTACTAAACTATTGATAGGAGTACTTAAGTAAAAGCTGAACATGATGCAAATACTTTGATGTTTGTTTGATAAAATAATGATTGATTTTTGACTTTCAAAGAATTATAAATCTATTTTTCAACCAAATTAAGCAAAGGTTAGGAGAGCAGACTACAATAGTATGGTATTTTTCAAAAATGTTTTTCCTGTAATTTATATGTGTATATATTCCTATAATATCTATGTGATATTTGAAATATCAACTCTATAGTCTACCTTTAAAATTTAAATCCATACCTTAGATTATACCTTTCCATTTAAACATGGGTGTATGATTTAGAACATGTAATAGAAATGTATGTAGTATGTAGTAGAAAAGGAATAAATCACATAAAGGAGAGCATGAGGAGAATCAGGAGACCAGCTACTTTAACTACTTTTGTTTCGTCCTATATTGTCAATCCTGTGCTGTCGCCATAGCCGCACTGACTTTGCTGCATATGCTTTTGCATACATGTGAGACAGACAGGCTGCGGAGTAATTCCAAATCTCTCTAGGGGGCAGTTTTTTCTTAGTTCAGTTAAGTATAACAATAGTGCTTCAAATAAATAATTTGGAAATAATAGTTTGCTGTGGATTTTCTTATCAATTTCATCAGGGTCTTAAAACTTCTCTACATAGATATAATACTTGAAATTTTTATTATAAAATGTCTTTGATCATTTAGTTGACTTCTTAAGAAATCATATATTTATCACATTTAATTAACCAACTAGACTCTCATTGCCTCTCAAATTTAACTAATGAATTGCTGCAAAAGGATAAAGAAGAATGCATCTTTCTACTCATTTCCCAAAGTTTGAAAAATAACTATAAATAGAGAATTAACTGCATGTCGAGTCACTTCCTTTCCACTGATGTTAAAGAGTTTTAGAAACAATTTAGAAAAATTAAAATTCCAAGGTTCTAAAGTTTGACTTTAAATCTTAAAATGAATGAGGCTCAGAGGATTAGTACTTAAGGTTGCTGCCTCAATTATGAATTTTTAGGAATACATTAGATTATGAAATTGGTATCAGAAAACAGTACTTGTTTTTCACAGTAAATATTCTGTGGGATTATATTAATACCCATTAAACATACTGTTTTACATGGCATATACTCCTTGCACTGTACTTTGAATTTACTTTTTATACTTTTGGTTAAGAACAGAACTGAGTTATTCTTTAGATTTTTCTTTAACTATATTTTTCAGGTCTTTTGTATCAGCTCTCATTTGAAATACCCTATTTTTGTCCCATCATCATATGCTATTTATACACTATCATTTGCTATTTGAATTTATTTCTATATTTTATTGAATAGGCATAATTCAAATCAAATCGACCAGTGCTTATAACATAGTAAAAAATACACTGATATAGTTCAAATGATTGGGTATTATGAGGCTACATTAAGAGGCTACATTAAGTAAACTAGTTAAATTATTTGAATGACATCAGCATGTTTTGTTAAATGCTGCAGTCAATAGTTTAAAGAATTGTGAGTGAGGAAGGAGCATGATTACTTGAGTTAGTGATTATTTTAATAGGACAAATATTCCTATGGTATCTTCAACTTGAACACAGACTCACTAAAAGCTTTAAACTTTTGATTTCTACAGTTATATTGGCTGAGGATATGGAGACACATGTAACAGAATATTATGTCTTTTTTCAAATAATGTATTTTTGTGATGCATCTTCCCATCTATCAAATAGATAAATATAGAAGAAGAAAAATTAGGGGTAGTCCTCATATTAACACCAACTATTGCAAAAAAGTGCATAGACTGAAATGTGAGATTAGGTATACTCTGTGTCTTATGTCAGTCGCTTTATAAGTTAATCATGCAAAAGACTGAAAGAGTGAATGAAAACCCTGTTAACAATTAATGCAGTGCAGCAGAAGCAAACCGGCACCATCCCAAGAAAACTGGCTTCTATGAACACCAAGTGTATTATTACACTCCCAGTAGGTAAGGATTTAATTAATCTAACAAACACTGATTGAGCATTGATTAGAATTAAGCATTGTTGTAGGCTGCTTCTACATACTACATGTCCTGAAATTCCGTAGTGACTTGATAAGACTTATGCATTGACATTAGCATCTTAGACTAATAATCCAATCTCCATTAATATTCTTTGGTTCCAGAGGTGAGTAGACCTTAGTACCAAAAAACAGGATCAGATAGGGGAAAATGTAGTCATAATACTGTATACTTGTATAATGCCTCAATGCTGTTTTGTAATATCTCATTTAAAAATATTGATAACCATTAAGGCGTGTAAACTTGCTAATGTTCTCCCCATTTTGGGCTTAAGGAAATGAAGGATCAAAATGCTTCTAAACTGATAGTTAATTAGACAAACTCCTTTCGCCCTGGACAATGTTAGGTAATGTACTTAGAACTTGACTGATAACTCAGAATAACCCTCTAGATGAATGTTATCATCCTCATTTTATGTATGAGTAACAAGAGGCTCCGGAGAAGGCAATGGCACCCCACTCCAGTGCTCTTGCCTGGAGAATCCCAGGGACGGGGGAGCCTGGTG